CTTCAGTGACGTGAGATTTTGAACAAAGATTACACCTTCTACAGATCCAACTTTGTATACATGTAAATACGTTTGCATTTGTGCAATTAACACGGAGAGCAAAAGACTCTATGTTACTACAGTTCATAGTTTTCAGAAGGCTTTTTGGCCATCTTCTCTTGATTCTTAAACATCAAAAACAGAAACTTTGTAAAGCACTGCTACAACCCTAAAAATATCCTACGTAAGTTTGTTGTCCTGTTCATCCAGGATCTTTAAACAATGCACTTGAAACACAACTTTATTAGCCAAATAGGCTACACTATAATGTGAAAAATTACAATCTATTCTACAAATACTTCCTTTGTGTCTTTTTTCTCCCCATATGAAGATGTATTGCAATCTTTCATAGAACAAGTTCAAAGAGCTATACCTGCAAATACACAGCAAATTCCTGTGAGCGTGTTACCTGTGCTAATAAAAAGGACATTTTCTGTTAAAATAATTTTCAAAGAATTTTTAATGATGACATTTTATTGCTGTTGATATGTTGTTGTAGTCATTAAGTGTCCACAGTCCAGATTGATCCACATTCTGAACAAGACAATGCCTGTCTCCATGTTGATTACCTAGTAGATAAAACCATTATTTGTCCATTGATCATTTCAGTGCCAGATTCTTGCAGATGGCAGGAATTTGTTGCATGTATTATTCAGTGTGTCTATGGTGGATTGATGAAGTCCTAAAAATCTCACTGTAGGATCCATTGCTTTTTAGCTGGTGTAGTTGCATGTTTCCGATAAGTGATCTTGCTGAGCTTCCTTCACTTTCTGAAGAGCAATATAACTTCTGATTTTACAATCAACAGGATGTCCCCTGAATCTGAGGCACATACTATATATTTCAGATTTTTTAATTATTTTTAATATATATATGTGTATGTATATATATATATATATTTATAAATCCACAAATGTTTTTTACCTCTATGGAGAAAAAACTAAGAAGTAAGGCCTTATTAAACTGAAAATCAGTACGTAAATCATAAAAAACCAACAACAGCAACAGCAAAACCCCAACGAAATACCGCCGTGGTCTAAATGGTAGCTAACTGTATGTTGTGTCTATGCTAATGTGCCCAGTATAAGGCCATTGCTCATTGTAAAAGCATCTTTAATAAGGCAAACAGGTTGTACTGCAATGTAAACTGTATGCTACTGCTAGGTCGAGTACAGTTGGGTAGTGTTCCATTTGGTCACTTTCCTACTGTATGTGTTTTAGCATGTCATAAGTAGCAGCCCTTTAAAAAAATAAAAGCCCTTATGAATTAAAAGTCCAAGATATGTATATGCTAGAGTGCATCTATAACTCTAAATTAAAAAAGTCCAAGTTTTCACAAGCTGGTATGACAAGCGCTGGAGAGTTACAGATTCTAGATGTGTCGGGGTGGTGGTCCGATGTACACCTGTAAGTCACTGCGTCCATGAACTGTCAGGATTAGGAACATGCACCTCTGTGGAGCTTGAGAGATCAGAAAAAGGGGGCTGCATCCTCTCGGTACAGTGTGTAGGCTCACCACTCAACAGACAGGGAATAGGAACAGACTGGACTCTGAAGAAGTTGGGCTGTGTTGTCAGTCCAGAGACCAAAACTGACAGCAAAGGAATAGGGAGTGTTTATAACTGTTCTGTTACTTCAACGTGGGTAGATGATGCAAAGTGAATGACTTAGAGCTCTGCAGCCAGGAGAGTTTAGGAAGTATCCTTCATGGGGAAAAATATCAGTCATCTCACTTGAACAGGAAGACTCAAAATGATCACTGAAGCTAAATGACATGACGTGGCTATAACACTCCTTGGAACATAGGTAAAACAGACGCCAAAACATCAATAAAACAGTCTCACATACAATGAATTCTGGACTAAGACTAATCCTTACTAAGCAATCTTCTGTTATCAGAGACCAAACCTAATTATCTCCAAATGAAATGTGTATCAGCTGTTTCTACCTTTCTGAGATAGATAGATACATAAAAGCTGGTGAGGCCATCACCATAGTCTGCCTTTTTCGAAGTGTGCAGTCAAAAGTGCACTCACCCAGGCTGGTATTATGCACATGTCAAGGTAGCCACTTCCTTGAATGCATGACTCAGTGGGTACATGATGGTTACCTTTACATGCTCATATCTCAGGCATGCAAACTTTTGATATTCACTTAAAACTGATATGCCTAAGAGATTTAGGCCAGAGGCATTTGCTTATTCAATGCACTGTACAAAAATCCTATTTTCATGGAGCTGTATGATTCCAAGACATTAAAAATCAAAATAACCTCATCTCCCAAATTATTTGTTTGGCTTCCAATCTACACCAGCATCCAATCTGGAGAGACAGCTCAAATCAACACTGTTACAAACAAAAACCACTCTGTGCAATTTGACTGGATGCTTATAAAGCTATACAACTGGATGGGTTCCACCGTGACACTAGATGCTACGCATCTTGAACCACTGCAGAAAAAAGTGCTGTAACATAAGATGTGGTTAAAAAAAAAATCAATCTATAGCATATAGTTCTTCTATAGGTAAAAAAAAAGGTGTCCTTGTAGACCTCTTAGCAAGTGAACAGCTTATTTTTTCAAGGTAAATGTGTATTGTACAAACATTATGTTCACTACTTCATCTTTGCAAGAAGAGCAAAAGCTTTCAGTGCTGCTACCTGAATTTTCAGCTTCTTGACAGCTTAATTCGTCAAGTAATCATACTGCATTTTCTAGCAAATCACTTCACAGTAAGACAAGCCAAAAGAAAGCACAGGAAATGTGCCATTCTGAGCAGAACAAGGGAGAAGTCACCTCTGAATGTTTTGCATCTCTCTGGGTTAAGTTTGGCAAATCACAGCTTAAAAACCAATCTTAAGTGACCTTAAGGCAAGTTCCCACCCCACCTACTGCATGCACCTTAACAACATGGACGACTATCAGCAGCAAGCCTAGACAACACTCCCTGGAAACCTGCAAGCACCAGCTGATCAAGATCAAGCTGTTGCTCAGGTGTGACAGCAAATGCTGCATCAGATGCTTTGTGCTGGAGGGGTTCTGCAGGTCAGACCACAGTCACTTATTTCTAGGCTAATGTAAATATATGTATATATTTAAATAAGCCTTGAGAATCCTCTAACTCCTATTTGTGTTGCCACAAACAGGACCTGTGACCAGTTGTGAAAAATCACCACGCAGAAGTAAGTAGTAGTGGAAGAAAAGCAGGAAAAGATCTATCTAGAAGCAGAGCAGTAAACAAGAAGGGCTGTGATGTGTGAAATCTTTAACAGACTTTCACATAAAAATTGCTGTCCAAAAGGAGGACAGCGACACAGTTGGACTCTCCCGACTGTAATTAAGTACTCTGAGGCTTAAACAAAACGAAAGGTGAAACCCCTTCCCCGTTTGTGTCACTGGGGGTTCTCCGTGTGGGACCAGGATATCGCCCTGAGTATCTGCATGACATGCCCAACAAGCATAATAGCTTTAATAAATGTAACCCCATCGCACGTAACAAGGAAAAAAACAAGAGAATTTGAGCCTGTTGGGATTTTACTCCACATCTCAGGCTCTGATTTCCCTTATAACAGTTTTCTACTGACTTAATTATATTGACTACAATGGAGTTACTAAAATTTATCCCAGGGAGTGAGATCAGAATGCGGTCACCATTACAACTCAGGTTACCTGGCAAACACTGAGCCTTCTCTTCTAAAAGCCTTAGTTCACGAGCCCAATGGAAAGCAGGACTGTTTGTCCAGTAAGTCTGAAAGAGGGACTCAAAAGAAAGAACATTAAAGTTAAGTCAAGTAGCAATGTTCTTTGGAAACAGCAGCATTTGCCCAGGATAGCTCTAACACTGATCTGAAGTTTCCAAACACTGAAGGAGGGACCAAATCCTCAGCTGGTGTAAACAAGCATACTTCTATTGATCTCAGTGGTGATTTACATCTGATGATCTGTCCCCAAGGACTGTGATTTTATGGTTGGTTTTTCCTGTAATTGGTGACTGGAGGGAACTGAAAATAAAAATCCTCGTTGTGACTGTGACTAAATAACAATTATTGCACGTCTGGTTTCCCTCTCAGGGCTCTGAGAATGACTGCAGAACTAAAAAAGGGGTTCTCGGGCAATACAGTATATGAAGGGCCGGTGAGTATGCAAAAATGGGGGGAGGGGGTTGCCAAAGTAAGGGCCTCGGGATTTTGGCCATACGATTCCAAAGGCGGATCTGATCGAACAGTTATCTCAAGGATGAATGTTTACATTCATCACCCTTTCTCCGACAAGAGAAACAAGATTTGTTTGGTGATATCTTTTATTGGACCAACTTTGTTGGTTGGGAGAGATTAGACAAGCCTTTTAAGCAGAAAATGCCCCTCCTTCGGTCTGGGAAAGAATCAGAAACAGACTAAGCTAGATCTCTGTGGGCACGTCTACACGAGATGCTAACCGTGCAGTAGCCTAATAACACTGCGCAGTAGCGTGCTGGGCAAAAACCATGCTAATACACTACTGCACAGTAGTATTAGGCACAGTAAGTGTCACTAAAAACCCATGTGCCAGCGCTACTGCACAATACTACAAGTTACTGAGCACTGATTTAGTGCTTGGCTAATTAATGAAGGTGCATTAATGAATGTGTAGATGCACCCAGTTAGAACAACTGTTCCAGTATTATCAACCAAACCTCGCTTCCCACCTATTCCTTGGACGATCACTGCTAGAACAACATGCCCCCTACAGCTCCCCTCTGCCATGGTTAAGGTGCAGTCTGGAGCGAGGAGAGCCGTATGAATGAGCGAACACGAAACATTCTTGACACCTTGCTGTCCTAGAAAACTATGGCTGACGAAGCCTACCGCATATCCCCTCGGCATAGCTCCCTGAACTAGACAGTACCTAGTCTGTGAATCAAAACCAGTACTTTTTTTTCCAGTCCTCTCTTAAAAAAAAAAATCTAAATAAACACACACATTCACTGAAAAATTGCAGTTTCTCCACAAGCTGCAATTTCTAATTTATAAAAAGCTGTTTACTTAATGACAGAGGCCAAAAAAATAAATGCAGTTTGGAGATTCAGAACGCTTGTTTCCAAAGCCGCGTGGGCAATGGTATCAAACTGGCTGATATCTGGCTACAGTAGTTACATAGGATTTCAAGGTTTACAAAACATTGCTCTAAATACCTGATGAAATTTTGGCAAGGCTGCTTTTGTCTCCTGATCGCTGATAGGAGGACAACATTGATTTATTTTTATGCCTAAGTACAGTATAAACCAAGTATTAAACCTGGGAGATTTTACTGCTCCCTGTTGTAAATTCACATCCCAAAACCCTGACACAAAACAACGCTCCCTCAGTTGTTTTCTATTTGCTCAATGTCTAATTCGCCGTCTAGCTGAAAGACATTCTCCCCTCCTGTCCCGCTGCTCCTCCAGGAAGCCCGTTCCTCTTCTTTCCTACTGCTCTCCTCTTCCGTGGTGCAGTAGTCTGACTCCTCACAAGAGAGGTCTTCTTTGCTAGCTCTACATTCTTCTGCATTTGAGCAAGGCTCCGGCACAGGCGTGCAGGCTGGTGTCCTGCCCGGCATGACATCCGAGGAGGAAGGAGATGTTGTCCATGACTTGGTGCTATTGACACTAGGGCCAAACTGGGTCTGCAGAGCGCAATCATCCAGCGTGGTGCTAAGGCAGCTAAGGCTGTTAAAAGTTTGACGATTCTGCAAGGGGAACAAAAAAAAAAAAAGTCAAATGAAATCTCGCATTTAGTTACCACAAAAAAGGAGGCAGAGAACCAGCAGAAGCTTGGGAGGCAAAATGTTCTATTTCATCTAGGAAAGCAAAACGGTCTCTTCCTGTACGCTTTCTAGCTGTTTTGCCAACAATTGCTTCATGGTAGAGGTGTTTTTTAATGAGTACATGAGGGGGAAACAGACCAGGTATTAAAAGGTTCTTTAATCAAGCAGAGAGAGGCATGACGGAAACCAGTGGTTGCAAGTCAAAACCAGATAAATTCAGCTTAAAAATAAGCAGACAAGGTTCTTTGGGTGAATCTGATATCTTTTATTAGACCAACTTAAATAGCTGGCCTACCGTTTTAACAATGAGGGAGATTAACTGTTGGAACAAACAACCAAGGGAAGTAGTGGATGTTCATCTCTTGCTGTCTTCAAAGCAAGACCGGATCTCTTTATGGAAGATACGTTTTTAGTCAAGCAGCGCATGAATCAAAGACATGGGGCTGAAGACAGGTGTAAGTGGATGGGATTCTGCGACCTGGGTTTACAAGCAGTCAAACTGCCTGGTCCAATGGTCCCTTCTGGCATTCAGATCTGAGGAGATGAATTCCAGCAGAACACAGATGGACTAATTGAACTGTCCTTCCCCGAAGTCTTCAGAAGACACTGGGAAGAATATTGCTTGAGTCCGTCAAATGGCAGTGATTACATCAGGAAAGCCCTTTGTGAAGGGCAAATCCCACCAACAAACTGATCTAACCGTGCCCCTATTCCCCTCAAGCCCTTAGAGATGGAAGAAGTTGACAATCCACATTCATTGCTTGCATTCTCATTAGCTCCGGCATTTCTTCTATTTTCTCTAATGCTTGTTGGATTCAAATGTATTCAGTCAGTTTTGAACACATAACATGTTACCCCACCCTCACTGCTTTAGGGACCTTGAGATCAGAAAACTCAGCACTCCTGCAGTTAAATTAGCTGCTCCCTGCCATTTGTTGGGATGTTTTAGATGAGCTTTCAGTACTTTAAGCACATATTTAAGTGCTTCCCTGAATTGGGGACTATCTTGTACTGTGGTAGCTCAGTGTCATACCTATTTATTAAAGACAGCACAAAAACATGCCTATCTCTCTCCTCTCCGTATGAAGCCAGTTATATAGGCGATTATCTTTTCTTGTAACTCTTTATTTAGTTCATATGCTGTTGGTTCAAAATGGTTTCAAAACACTGACAATGATGTTTGTTGGCATTTAGAATTACTCACATAACAATATATACAACATGAGACATTATTAGCCCTTGAGATGCTGCAGGCTGCAAATCTAAATAGTGACACTTTAAAAAAAATAAACAAAATTCTAATTATTTACCTTAATTACAATGAATTGCCTGTCTGATGAAGTTCATTGTCAAGCAAGCCATGTGCATCACAAGGAAAACTCAGGCAACTGTGCAAGAGAACAGGAAATCTCCGATCTGAATTCTTCAGTGAGCTGTGAAATGAGGCAAGGACAAAATGCCCCTGTGCCCACTAACCGAAAAGTAGACTATTAATTATTAGTTTCCAATGATTCCATCTGTGTCACGTGGATCTAAAAATCCACATCAACCAAAATGCCAGTTATAGCCATGAACACACAAATGGCTTATGCACGCTGTTTGCAAAATCACCAAACTAAAAGCCAAACATGTGATCCTATAACACAAGCATGAACACATTTCACAGAAATCTGGTTCTGGCCCATCCCCTCTAATCTATTTTTGGGGGTATTTATATAACTCCATCACTGTGGTATCTCTGTTTTTTAGCAGAGCTACTGCAAGATACAGGTGGTTAACATGTTTAGTTCATGGTGATTTCTCGTACGTGGAACCATAACTATATTACTTCAGGGCTACAATTTATAATTACCTTGCAAATGGGACAATGTTTGCCCATCAGCAAGAAGGTGATGTCACAGTATGGCGCACAAATGTATTTTGGGATGCTGGCATCAAGCATTCCCTATTATATTAGGAGACTGACACAAACCACATTGCTAGTCAGATGATAATGCTCAACAAGGTCTTCACACAAATCTATCCAGCCACATTTGAGATGTTTTTCCAGGTGCACAGATCGGATTCTCTAGTAATGGCAGTACATATACTCCTAGAGGCTGCAAATCATAGTGCAGAAGCAAAAGAGCTCAGTACAGAGCTGGCCTGGTCAGTGCTCAGCTGCAGTGAACTGGACTTAATTTAGGAAACAGGACGGAGAGCAAATGACCTCAGGAAATACAGTGATTCAGCACATAACCCTGACAGCCTCTCCAGGGCAGGGCGTCCATGGTAAAGTTGTCCTCTTCCACGAACAGTGTGAATATAATACCTGGGCTGTTTCCAGTCTATGAAAGGATGCAAACATCTGGACATGAATCAAGCTCATCATAAACCCTGTCATAAATAATCTTTCCAGAAGAGGGCATCGAAGAACATGCAACTCTTAAGTGACTACTTCTACTTCTTGATTAAGTACATTCCCTTTGGGGAATATAGGGTACATATTTATACACAGCTTGAACACTGCTAGATACAGCCATTTGAAAGGTTGAGGGGAAGCAATTTGCTGATCCCTGGTGAGGACCATCTATGCCTGCTCTCATGTCCAGGCATATTTTTGTCTCAGCTTCGTATCAGTACATAGGAGAGGTTTCCCTTCTGCTTTTTTTGACCTTTAAAATATACTGGGAGGAACCTTCAACAGAGGGAGGACAACCACCAGGCTTTGAGGACACAAGTCATCCTTCAAGGCTCTGTTGGTATCCTATTCCTCAGTTTGATACTTTCTTCAAATCTCCTTTAGCCTTTCTCAGGCCAAAACAAGAAGGGCTCATAACACCCAGCATGCATCTCATGGCATCTTAAATTGCCATTCATATCTGTCTTCAACAAAGTCATCCTGCCTCCATGTCTACAACAGATAGACTCATACTCCACAAGCTTCCTGTCTCAGCAAGCAGCAGATTTTCATGTGAAACCTGGATTATTTTTTCTTTCCCCTCCTTCCTTTTTCTCCCCAAAGGTTGAGACTGGCCCATGGACAAAGATCTTCCCAGAACATCATGAGGAGTATTCAGAAGACTATAAATCTGTCTAAGGAAACTCCAGTGGCAAAACCTATGTTTTTAGGGAGATCTACAGTAGGACTCTGCTCTTACTGCAACAACCAAGGTATTTTTAAAAACCTACAGTCACCTTTACTCTGCTGACTCAAAACTTTGTGGCTACTTATCTCAGTTACTCTATAAACAAAGGTCTACCACAGCCAACACAAATGTTTAGTGTCCCCTTTTGAGAGGAAATTAGGTAAAACTACTGGCCAAAGGCTACACATGGCCTCTACTTGTGGAAGTTATTCTCTTCTGTGACTTGTTCTCCTCCCTTTCCATATGGCCATCTCTTGCTTTTGCACCACAGAAATACATGACTCCAGAAGGGGCCAAGCTCTGATGAAAGCCAGATGTGTACATTCTTTTAAAGCAAAACCACATGTTTGGGGGGGATCCCCCCCGCTCCTCTCCTAGCCAGTTGACCTGCTACTTACATACCAAAGTTCAGTTGTGGGTGTTCAGGACATGAATCTATCCATGTGCTCAGTGAAGAAAACATCTGCGGTGAGTGAAGATACTCATCTGATAAACATTTCAGAAAAGACTGGAAACTGAAGGAGATAAGTATGTTGCAACTAGCCAATCAACTGATTAGATGAGCCCAGTTCCACAAATACTCACTTTTTTAATGTGGGACTTGAGTGTGTCAAAAGCTTGAAGCATATCTGCAGGACACTGCGGTAGCAGGTCATGGGTTCCTGAGTTTCAGGGTGAGAACATTTGATTTAAAAAAACCAAACATTGTGGGCTTCACTGGTATATCTATATAATAGCCAGTGGGTGCATCTATGAGTGTACTTAGCCACGCAGTACACTAATTTGGCTGTAGTGTAAAGCATTGAAGTCTACATGTGAGATGCTATTAGACCACCACAAACTAATTTTTGCCAACCTGGGGCTGCTCTATCCCAGCTCAAACTGCTGCAGTCCTGGGTGCAGTGTCTACATGTACACCCCAGACAGCAGCAGTTTGAGCATCCACACGTGCCATTAAGGTGCCATGATAAATTCTGGCTCAAACTGCTGTGGAAAAAAAGGCACACACTTTCCAACTACTTTGGAAAAAAGGCACGTCACAGGCAAAAAAATGGTATGTTTTTAACAACAGAAACCCAAGGCACTTGCGCTAAACCTATACACATCAAGCCAGAGTCTATTCCATCCGTTTGGCCTGTAAGGGGACTTAGGCACCTGGTTGTGATTCTATTCCACCCTGTTCAAGTCCCTGGAAATCCAGAACAGATCTACTTTTGCAACACATCATCATCTGACCTTTAAGACTGAGTCATAAAAAAGCAGCAAGGAACAAGGGAACCCACTCACCTTTTGCAATAACTGTCTTCCAAGGACTCAAGCAGGTAGAATAAAATCACATTTAGGTGCCTAAGTCCACTTACACCTACTAAATGGAATGGAATATGACCCTTTGATCAAACCCTGAAAGCTTTGATTTATATCCTTGAGCACTGTGTTAAATGAAGCATCCTAGTAAAAACAAGTTATTGAAGGGGATCTCACAGATGCTGAGTTTTAAAAAGAAGGCATGCCTTAGCCTTCCACCGAACGAGGAGTCCCTGCAGACTCCAACTCAAGAGGCAGCAGAGGCAGGTTTTGATCTCATTGTCACAGCTATAAATCTACTGCGCTAAATGGAGTAGCACCTGCTTGGATCAGGTCTGGGCTTGTGCCAATCAAGAAAATGAAATATGAAATGTTTGGTGTATGGGCACAGACATTCAGCAAGGGAGGGTCTTTTTGGGGCAGCAGAAAACAATGGACTGCTCTGCCAGCACCTTTCTCACTCTTGCTTGTGCAACTTGTGAACCATGT